AGCTAGCCCCATGCGGAAAAACATTCTACCGACAACCTTGTCCAACAGCTACTTACAGGAAANCAACGAAGGCGACGAGTTGGCAGCGGGAACACGTTCCAGGGTTAGATTGATACACCGTGAACCGGACAAGAGATAGGACATGAGGCCAACAGAATACCATCACGTAGAGGCTCTACGGCGAATGCCAGGAAGCGACAACTGATCCCAATACGTTGCACGATCCTTGGTGCTCACGTTTCCAGCAACGGGCTGGAGGTGGTTTCAGACACCCCCGACCTATTCTACACCGAACTTCCTACCAGCTGCTTGCCGCCGCGCTAGTCGGGATTGAATGGGTCATGGGGACGATTGGTCTGCGATCTCGTAGTTCTCCATCGCAAGCTAGCCCCATGCGGAAAAACATTCTACCGACAACCTTGTCAAACAGCTACTTACAGGTGTTCCAAGGCCGTAAGATTCCCGAAGATTCCCTCAGGCAACGTGGTGAGCTCGTTCTGGTGCAGGTACCTTCGAGTGTCGAGGGAAGGCCACGAGCGGAGCAGATAACACACATGAGCCGGGAATCAGTGCTTGCTGCCGCACATGCTGATCGCGATGGCCTGGGTACAATCACAACAATCATGCCTACTTCCGGCTACAACGAAGGCGACGAGTTGGCAGCGGGAACCCGTTCCAGGGTTAGATTGAGTACACCGCGAGCCGGACAAGAGGCTAGGATATGAGGCCAACAGAGCACCATCACGTAGAGGCTCTACGGCGAATGCCAGGAAGCGACAACTGATCCCGATACGTAGCACGATCCTTGGTGCTCACGTTTCCAGCAACGGGCTGGAGGTGAATTCAGACACCCCCGACCTGTTCTACACCGAACTTCCTACCAACTGCTTGCCGCCGCGCTAGTCGGGGTTGAATGGGTCATGGGGACGATTTGTCTGCGATCTCGTAGCTTTCCATCGCAAGCTAGCCCCATGCGGAAAAACATTCTACCGACAACCTTGTCCAACAGCTACTTACAGGTATTCCAAGGCCGTAAGACCCCCGAAGATTCCCTCAGGCAGCGTGGTGAGCTCGTTTTGGCTCAGGGACCTTCGGGTGTCGAGGGAAGGCCACGAGCGGAGCAGATAACACACATGAGCCGGGAATCAGTGCTTGCTGCCGCACATGCTGATCGCGATGGCCTGGGTACAATCACAACAATCATGCCTACTTCTGGCTACAACGAAGGCGACGAGTTGGCAGCGGGAACACGTTCCAGGGTTAGATTGAGTACACCGTGAATCGGACAAGAGGTAGGACATGAGACCAACAGAACACCATCACGTAAAGGCTCTACGGCGAATGCCAGGAAGCGACAACTGATCCCGATACGTAGCACGATCCTTGGTGCTCACGTTTCCAGCAACGGGCTGGAGGTGGATTCAGACACCCCCGACCTGTTCTACACCCAACTTCCTACCAGCTGCTTGCCGCCGCGCTAGTCGGGGTTGAATGGGTCATGGGGACGATTTGTCTGCGATATCCTAGCTCTCCATCGCGAGCTAGCCCCATGCGGAAAAACATTCTACCGACGACCTTGTCCAACAGCTACTTACAGTGCTTCCAAGGCCGTGAGACCCCCGAAGATTCCCTCAGGCAGCGTGGTGAGCTCGTTTTGGCTCAGGGACCTTCGGGTGTCGAGGGAGGGCCACGAGCGGAGCAGATAACACACATGAGCCGGGATTCAGTGCTTGCTGCCGCACATGCTGATCGCGATGGCCTGGGTACAATCACAATAATCATGCCTACTTCCGGCTACAACGAAGGCGACGAGTTGGCAGCGGGAACACGTTCCAGGGTTAGATTGAGTACACCCCGAGCCGGACAAGAGGCTAGGATATGTGGCCAACAGAACACCATCACGTAAAGGCTCTACGGCGAATGCCAGGAAGCGACAACTGATCCCGATACGTAGCACGATCCTTGGTGCTCACGTTTCCAGCAACGGGCTGGAGGTGGATTCAGACACCCCCGACCTGTTCTACACCGAACTTCCTACCAGCTGCTTGCCGCCGCGCTAGTCGGGGTCGAATAAGTCATGGGGACCATTTGTCTGCGATCTCGTAGCTCTCCATCGCAAGCTAGCCCCATGCGGAAAAACATTCTACCGACGACCTTGTCCAACAGCTACTTACAG